CATTACATTGCATTTAGCTTACGCTTTTATCCTAAGCGACTTACAATAAGTGCGTTCTACAAGATACAAACTTGAAGAAAACAGAATCATATAAGTACATCAGGTTTCATAGAGCTAAAACATTTCAAGTGCTACTCAACTGGCTTTAGATAAGCCAGTCCTTTATTAGTATATAAGTGCTTTGTTAGTAATTATATCGCTCGAATTGGAGTTTATGCTGCTTTAAATATATAAATATGTATCACATTTAAGACACAGCAATGTGAAAGAACATAAATCAATCTTGATGATTGCATGGTCAAAAGGCAAACGCATTCATGTAATATAAAACATAATATCTGATCTTTACTTGTAATATTTTGCCGCTAGTGCAGAAGCAGCCCCCTTTACAATAATGACACTGTGGGCAGGCTTTTATGATTGTATCGTGAAGCAGAAAGTTTACCCATGCTTGATGAAACACATGACTCAGAGACTTTTCAAGATACTTGAGACCAGGCTGGAATATCCCTATGTAGATTTATACATCAAATCCTTTTAATATCCATTGATAAAGTCCAACTGTGTTAAACCATGTCTCCCATTATCTGCCTTATCCTGTGTTCATATAGTTCAACTGTCAACAGCAACAACAAAAATAGTTTTCCAATCTGTTTCCTGCAACAACCCAAGCTAAATAAAATGATAAGTATATACTTCATCAGTTAACACTGTCTGTTTTGACAACTGCACAACTCTCAGAGGGATCTCCAACTTTTAAAGAGATTTCACACTATTTGAAGGCATCTATGTTCTTGCTGGTTTGAAAGAGAGGGCCAAGAGACAATCAGTAATGCAGGAAGTTAAACGAGTTGCCAAGCAGTTCAGGGATTAAATATTGTTGTTTTTTTTCAAGATGTTAAGGCTAATTTCAAATGAGAATAATTATGATGGCATTATATATACACAAGTATGCACTTTACACTTAGAATTATAACATACAAATAAAATAGTGAAAGGAAAAGTATAGCGCACAGTAAACAATAAGCTATATCTACATGAAATATGTTAGGATTTTTCAGACAGCACACAACAAACGGGGGTATTTAAATGAATGAAATTAAAACGTTACTAACAATATATAGAATACAAAATAAAGTGCCTCCAGCTTGTCAGTGAGGATTATAATAATGAATATGATGAGACTTCACAGTCGAACACTATGCCTATGAAAATAAATGCGAAAACTCAGGCTATAATTAAAATTAACAGTTACTGAATATAACGCACAGTTAATATTATGAGTAAAAAGTAACTTTCACACATTCCTGATTCTGATAACATATCAACAGCGCCCCGATATTATTTGATATTCAGATGCCATTCCAGAAATACCGTATGTTTTAAGCATGTTACTCTGACTCAGTCGGTGTTGCAGAGCTTTGATTCTATTCAGATGATGATTACAGAATACTGTGCTGAGGCTTTGTGCGCCACTCAATCTCAGACACCTCTTTCAACTCATGAGGATTAGTTCTCAGCTTTCACTTGCTCTGTAATTATATAGTTCTTCAACACATCTGCACTGGAGCACATGCAGCCGGAAGCACACACACTCACTCGCAAATATTTATTCTATCTTACATCTTTCTGGCAGACACATGCATGTGCTAGCACATATGCGCACACAAACCCACACACACTGCATCATCCAGCGCCAGCCTCATCAAATCATCAGACAGTCAGTTATGTTTATATGAGGGATCGAGGCAGAGACGGAGTGAAGGGAGGTCTGCCAAACAAAGTGAAAAACATCAGAGAAAATAACAACAGCAGCACCCACTGCAGCATCGCAGCTTTCTCTCTTTCCCTGCCTGCCACCGCTCGGCTTTGTTAGAGAATAGTTTGTTTGTGTGCGTTTCGCACGTTGCAGGGAAGAAAGCCAGTAGGCAAGGCGGTATCCAGGCCACTGCTTTGTTTTGATGTGGTCATGCTAATTTAAAAAAATAACTTTTTCTGCCAACACTAAGAAAACCACACAGGAAATAATATACAGCTTTTTCTATGTTTAAAAAAAACTAAAAAGGGTTGCAAAGGTGCGTGTATGGGGCTTATGTGCATGTTCTGCATCTATTCATCATTTCTCAAACTGCAGAGAAGATGTGGATTGCGAATTTTTGCTGATGTTTTTATGTTTTGCCAGACTGCTAAACACATTGGCAGAGAGGAAATTAGTATAACAGAGAGAGAGAGAAAAATACGAAGGAGATGGAGGTACTGGGGACATAAGGGAGTATTTTTTTGGATCCGACTCAGACTAGTGGCTCAGACAGAATGGTGACGTCAGCACAGGCTTAAGGATGGAGGGATCTGGGGAGAAACAGAGGGAGGCTGGAGATGACGCCCTGAGGGAGGCAGGAATGAGAAAGATATTAAGAAGGGAGAGAGGACAGACGGAGAAAGAAGCAAGCAATAAAAGGCCTACCACATATATCTGGGTGTGACTTGGGAAACTGCAGCTAAGTGGGTTTAAGACAGATAAACAGACAGGGGAAAAAACAGAGGAATGAGAGACAAAGAAGGAGGAACGGAGAGGAATCATTTCTTGGCGGGAAGGATGAAGACGAAAGCTGAGAAAGAAATTGGTTTATTATCTTGGCTTAGAAAGTGTGGGGTGAAGAAAAAGAAAAGTAGTGCAGACTAAAATAGATAAAGAGGTAGTGATGGCGGAGAGATAGAGCGTGCAAGAGATTATGTCAAATCTTTGCTTTACTTTCTATCTAAGAAAGCAGTCAATAACCTTCAGTACTTTATGACTCAGTCGTGAAAGTCCCTAAGAAATAACTTTTGCTGGGACATGAAGTAGAAAACACATACCCACAGTTACAGAAAAAATAAAATGATTCTGTTTTGCTCTTCTGAACACATTTGCAGCTTTCGTTTCTCTGCTTCGGAGCTTTTTTTGATGCATTATTTTTTACTTATTTCAGCTTTCTCTTGCCTTATGCAATAACTTTCTAATGTTGTGTGGTTTCACTGGCCAGCTCACTAGCATGGTTTTGTGCTGGATTCAATCCTTTTCTTTTTGTTTAAAGATGAGCCATGTTTTAAGCCCAAAAGAGTTCAGGATTCTTACCCTTTAACTTGTGTGAGAAATAATTATGCCCATGGCAGCACTCTTTGAGTAACCTTTGAGCTCTAATCACTTGTTTTTATCTCCCATTGGGATGACATCATAACTAAAGTTTTTTTTTTGTTGCAAAAGCAAATATGTGAGGTCATACAATAGCACTAACATAGCATTTGCACTCTGATTCACCACTGTGGGCCATGCAGTCGTGTCCATTGGTCGGTGTTGCAGACAAAGTTTGTCCCCCGAGTCCACAACTTGCACTGATGACAGGTGACCGATGATGAAGGCACCGGGGCAAGAAATTAAAAAGCACAGAGGCGAGAGAAAAAAAAGGGAGGGAGAGGAGTGAAGACTGGCGGGTATTGGTATTAGAATATGACAGACACATACAGTTTTAAAACGTTTTAAACTTCAATAACCCCACACCTGAACATAGTCCCACTGGTCAGCAATACACATCATTATACGTCTCAGTAAGTGGGGGTGTTGCGTACATTGATTCACCGTGTTATAAGTGAATATTGAACCAAGAATTAAATTAGCTCTCATGCATATTTCATTATGCAAATTGTTGAATGATACTGTAAGAAAAGAGACTTGAGGGGTTTGGCATGCTCATTAAAAATATCTCAATGGGAGAATCTGAATTTTTTTTGAATGTGAATGTCGCCTGTTTGACAGGTGTGCAGACAGAGAGGGGAAGAGGGAGAGACACAACAGTTGTACAAATTGAAAGAAAATATTTAGATGAGAAGAGAAATCTGACTTTAAAAAATAGGCCTTTTCCTCATGGGTTTCAGTCCCTAGTCTCAAAGACGGTATATTCTTCATTTCACCTTATTACAATAATGTATTGAAACCAGAATGCACCGTTTCGATGAAGTGTATCTTCAGTATGAGGTTACAGTTTATGCTATTTCTTCAATCTATCATGATAATATGTCGAATCCAACCAAGCCTCAACAAATCATCTTTGGTTGTAAGGCTTGGCCTTAACATGTTTAATTACAAACACTTGAGCATAAATATCAAGATTGCATTTTTATTGCCGCCTGCATGCATGAAAACACAACAATCAGGTGCATAATAAATACAGTGTGCTGTCTCACATAGCCAGTTCTAATAAGAGTGAGGAATACTTACTTTTTGTGAGTCAGAGGAGAGGGCCCCCCTGATAATTACAATTAATTATCTGGAGTCTGGGGCAAAATACTCTTAAAGCTATAGGTTATTGTTCTCAGTGCTGCACAAGCACCCAAACACACACACACACACACACACACACACACACACACACACACACACACACACACACACACACACACACTAGAAGTGTCCTTTCCACAGCTCTTCAGTCGCCACATTGTACCACCTTGTGTATGAGTGTACTCAATGATTCCATTAGTGTAATGTCGACTCCAGGTGTACATGTAAGGACACATTGTCTGCCCTCTTTTCAATCTAAAGGGTCCTTAAACTCACGACCCTTCAGTGACAGGGTGAATGTAGTGTACTATAATAATAATAATACATTTGATTTATAAAGCACCTTTCATTGCTAACAGCAATCCCAAGGTGCTACTATGAGAGGAAACAAATACGTACATNCACACACACACACACACACACACACACACACACACACACTCAGTGACAGGGTGAATGTAGTGTACTATAATAATAATAATACATTTGATTTATAAAGCACCTTTCATTGCTAACAGCAATCCCAAGGTGCTACTATGAGAGGAAACAAATACGTACATCTCAATATATATAATCTGTCTGTATTGAAGAGTGCTTTGGAATTAAAAAAACAGACCTGTTATTGAGGGTTTGTGAGAATATCTCTGTGCATCTGAACTAACCTTTCCGTCTTTTTTTCTAGATGCAACAACCGTACCCAGTGTGCGGTGGTGGCTGGGCCAGATGTTTTCCCTGACCCCTGCCCTGGCACATACAAATATTTGGAAGTCCAATATGAGTGCGTCCCATACAGTAAGTACTCTTTTTGTAAAATGATTTGAACATGTTTTGGCCTCTTATCTCTGTAGTGACATACGTGCGTTAGTTTTTTAAATGATGTCATCTCAACATGTGTTTGCCATTTCCTAAAAGTTGGATTGTGAAGACTGCAGTGTTTTACAATCATTCATAAAAACCACAGACACTTTATATGGGGAACTATGATCACACTTCTCCCCTTGGAAAATCCAAGAAAGGAAGGAAGAGAAAGGAGGATCGGCTCCAGTGATGGCAGATGGTGATTTGACCTCTGACCATGTGATAACAGACTGAGAGGTCGTATTCACTGGAGTGAAACATTCCTGGGACAGGGTCGCTGAATATACCAACAACTGTGAACGTTTCTTTTTGTTTTCTTTTACTGGTAAAGTTTTCCCCTAAAATGTAGGTTACAGCTCATTGAATAAAACATGCACAAGGGTTCAGGGTCTTTTTGGAGTAAAGACATACATTTGCTGTTGATGTTTTAAAACTGTATTCCAGCTTAGAAGATTTGTCCAAAGGCAAACCCAAAATGCGACTTCTGTGTCTGCTTTTTGTTGAAAAATCTAAAGTGATTCCCCTGTCGTTGCTCTCACTACTTTTCTCTCACAAAAGGCATTTTGAATTAGTTTTTTCACACACAGTTGTTGCCAAAACAAAAATGAATATTGCTTTATGCCCCAAAAAAATTCATTTAAAATGCAATGAAAGAGGACATATTACTAACAAAAGGACAGACACAGAATGTAGTAGGAAATAAACAACAACTAACTTCCTCGATTCAATAATAGACCTGCTGTGCTTCAGTGGAAGAATCCAAATGTACTTTCAGCTCAGTAATCTGCTGTTAAACATGGTTGAACCAAATACTACTATTGCTATTACATTGTACATGGCGTTTTTTGTAAAGCTCATGGAAACATGGTACAAGAGGCAGCGTGGGTGTGGATTTGTTTCTATTTCTGTATACAAGTGAAGCTCTTACTGGTGACATTCTTTGTTCATTACAAACATATCTGCAGTTTAGGTCATCAACATACAGAGTTGGATTTTAAATACAGAATAAAAGTCGTTATCCAAAAATCAATTTAGTAATCTGTGTAAATCTTACTTTTGCTTAAAAAAAAAAGATTGTTGGACAAGTGGACTGAGTCTTTCAAGAAATGTAAAGTGCCCTGTTACAAGTTATTGTCAGTTCTTCAAAAAGATATAAACCACTAAGTAAGTTTCTCCTCAAGCATAATTATGTGCAAAAGGAAAGTTTTGATTCCAAATATTCAACTTTTTTCTGTCTTCCTTCAATAACAAATGTGTGTGATAGCTTGGAACAAACGTTGTGAACTGTAGTTCTTTCAGCATAATTCCTTCTAAAGTGTTTCAGAAATCACAGATACTTATCTTGAATCTTTGCCTCCCATTGTCTGAGTGTACAGCCTTGGCACCACGCTCCATATAGACGGCCAAGGTGATCTCCCACACTGAAGCATTCAATTATGTCTGGCTAAACGGCTCTTGCCTGGCATCTAGAATGACCAACAGATTAAATAATAGGACTATCAGAGCCCTCTCTGGAGCAGAGGGAAACACAACCTGATACCTGCTTAATGCCCCTCTGAGTGCGCGCACACACTTGCACGCCACACACATCACAAGCATCAAAACAGGGTGTGTGTCAGTGTGTGTTTTAACTCTTGTTTCCTCCATTCATTTAGAACTTGTCTGCACATTCTGTCTTCATCCTTGTTTTAACTGAACGCCAGCTTGAAAACACAGCGCAACCGTATGTCATAGATTAATCACTGGAAAGAACAGTATCTTATTAACAACTGAGTGCAAAGGAAGATGAGTTGCATGCTGATCTGATAAACAATGAGTCCGTCAGGGTAACGTTTCCCCCAGCAAAAATAGACAGCATCTGAAACCAAAGCCATTAGAGAGCTCAGCTAACAGAGGGAGGGACAAAGGGAGAGATAGAGCATTGGAGGAAAGGATAGAGAGAGAGAGAGAGAGAGAGAGAGAGAGAGAGAGAGAGAGAGAGAGCCTTTAACAGTACATTAGCAGTTTTCGTGTACTGACTAAGTGTTCAGGCTGGATCAGGTAGCGCTCTGATACACTACCTGGCTCCTGTGGGTGTGTTTAGCAAAAAAGAAACGTTGCAGAGTAAAATATGATGTATGAAAAGGTGAACTAGTGCTTGGATACCATGACTTTACACTACACATTCTTATGTCAGAGAATACATTATGATTTTTTGTTCCCTGACCCCTCACAGGGCCCTCTCATTGCATCCTTAAAATATTTATGCAATCAATTTTCTTTGAAGGGGCGTAATCGTGTCCGAACGTTAGAACTGAGATACTTTGCTCGCTGATATTCAGGTCGCAGATGCTTGAGCTCTCGTCTGCGATCAAGCTGGCGTGCGTGACATAGCAAATCAATGCTGTCAGCTGCGTTGTTGTGAAAGATACATTTGTAAGACATTAAGCGGTGATCTATCTCCAAAATGTTGCCATAAATCACGACGGATCAATAACCGGGGCTTGTTTTCTGAAATATATGAGAGTGTACTCAAACTGTCGCATCCCTTAAACAGTCAACAACTTTAACAAATCATAATATTTACATTATTACAGGGTTGGCATTAGCGCACTCAAATGGATGCAACATCAACGGGACAGCCATAACTCAAGCCAGCGATGCGGCGTCCCTTGACATTAAACACACTGCTAGTGCTGCCTGTTGAGTGCAAACACCTGACCCAGAGCCATCACCCCTGAGGCCGGGCGTTGCTAATCAGAAACTGATTGCACCGAAAGAAAGTGAGCTGAGCTTCAAAGCGACACCACCTCGTGCTGTAGAGGAACTTTTCCCCAGCACTGGCGTTGAAGTAGAGCGGTTATGTTTCCTACCGCATAGATATTGTAAACAAATCTGAAAGTGGGTTGTAAAACAGGTAATTAAATTGTGTATGGTTCCGTTTTCTGGGAAATGTTGCCCCTCCACCTCTCCTCCTTGGTTTTTTTCTTGAGGATTTTTGGCTTGCTCTACCTACCAAGCTCTTCATCTCTCCTCCCCGCACTGCAGGATTCTGGCTCCTTTCCAAAGCTAAAATCAAGTGCTCTCTCGCTTTTCTCTCTCTGGCTCTCAGTGGTATGAGTGTGTGGCGGTCGTGTGCCAAACTAGCCAGCTAGCTTTGGCAGTAATTAGCCACCTGTGTATACTTGCTCATTGCACTGCAGGCGGACTATAAATATCCATACATTAACACACTACTGTACAGAGTACTTTCTCAAGCCAGTTCTCACACATGGATACATGAAATCTCGACAAATACACAATTGGTGAAAATGATTTGGATCGTTTCATGTCATTGTCACTGCTACGTGCCGTAGTGTCACTATAAAACAATTCAAAAAAAGCCTGGAACGCCTGGGATTTTGTCTATCCATGTCCTCATCTCCACGCAGCAGACCCTGGCTCTCCAACTGTTATTATGAAGCAATTAGCCTACTACCACATTTAGTGTATTAATCAGAAAAGCCAGTGATATGTTATGCAATACCCATGCAGTCTATTTTAGACAATAGACGTGGCTCAGTAGGAGAGCTAATTAAAAGATAAAATCACCTTCTTGTCTGGCCAATTAAAGACTTCTGTCAGATTGGACCCTTGGAATAACTTCATCATGATAACATGAAAAGATCCGTGTGTGTGTGTGTGTGTGTGTGTGTGTGTTGTCATTAATAAGATTGCTCTACGTTATGTCCATGTGTGTGTGCATGTCTCAACGTATGTGAATGTACATTATAATGTATGTGTCCTTGTTTGCGTGTGTGTTTGGCGTACACGGGCAATTGTGTGTTTCCCGGGGAGAGCGAGGGAAAGATGGAAAGGAACCAAAGAGACGGAGGGTGAGCGAGCGTACGAGAGAGCGGGAGCGACAGCTGAAACAGAGATAGAGGGAAATAGGTTAGACGAGGCCAGCAGACGAGGAACAGAATGAATGAATTAACTGATAAAAAGACACAGCGGTGAGGTGGACAGGGTTAGGGTTGCGGGAAGTGGTGGAAATACAGAGGACAATACAGAGGACAATACACAGAGAATGAACGAGGAGAAAAGCACAGCGTGAAAGGACGATGGAGAATGCCAGCAGGTGAGGATGAGAGGACAGAGTAAACGATGAGAATAATGGAGAGAGGAAGAAGAAAACTGTCCGTGTCCACAAATGACCTTGGGTTTTAGCCGGCTGAGCTGATTGGAGATCAGAGATAGTAGTGGTGAGGCTGCTGTCGCCAGTCGTCTGCAGGAACACGCACACAAACGCACATATTACACACACTCATGAGTCCACACACTCTTTCCTCCTAGATGAATACCTCTTTAATAAACCGTATGCTTTCAATAAAAATGCAAATTATCTTTACACTGTACCACAGTCAGGTTAACACTGCTTCTGTGCGAGTGTGTGTATGAGAAATAGAAATGGAAAGAGAGAGCCTGAAAAAAAGCAAGAGAAAGTATCCACGGCACAGAGCTTGTCATTTGATTAAAGTTACAAAAAAAATAGAAGATACGTTGATGAATATTCATTTTTGTATTTATTAAACTGAAACTAAACAGGCGACACACTTTCACTAACAAAGCATTTATGTAAGTGTTATTGTGCTGCTATTGTTTTTCTAATAATCATTCAAAGCTTTACTGGAAATAATTCAACATAATTATTTTGAAGCTCACTATTAAATTGTCTAGTCTTAGTGTTTTTACAAGCGATCAGTCGAAGATACTGAATAGATAACATGCCTCACCACTGCAGAATTCAATTATGAATTACACTAAGAGATACTTTGAGAAATGATGCTCTGGTATTTATGTGTTCTGGGAAACAAGGACATGTTGTGCAGTCTTGCGCACTCTCTAGGCTAAATTAGCAAAACACCTCTGATCTTTTACACCTCGCACGCTTGAGCTAACCTTGAAAAAGCCTTTCAACAAACGCGTCATCCACCTACACTACATTCACTCTGTAAAAGCCTGCCCACTGAAAGATGAATGACTGCGATTTGTGTAAAACTTTCATTTCTTACCCTTGTCATGGACATTAAAACTAGAGATGCCTAAAAAAAAAGAATCTTGCACCGAGGTCACAGACGGGGGCGTCCACTAATCTGGTGAAACAACAGGCGGCGATATAAATTGAATGACATTTGTTTGACATTTTGTGTGCCATTTGCTGTACTTGTTATCGCCACACTTTTTCATTTGAAATCTATTAGTCGCTGTCAACCTTGAACTCTGCGTGTTTTCCTTTGAGTCTGGGAGGTTGTATAAGACACTCAGGTGATCCGAAGGCCTTGTTGTTCTGTGTCATTAATCCCCATTGTGGCAACCACACAGTGTCTCTTTGTATTGTTTAAATACAGTATGTGTGTGCGTTTGGTACATCAATATCTGTCGTCCCATCGCACACATCCTACTCAGCACAGACACACTATCTGCTTTCTTTCACAGTTTTTCCTCACAAGAAAACCACTTCCTTGTGGTGAACCATTTTATATCTCCACTAGTAATGGCACAGACTCACACAAACACATATACACACACTTGTTTTAGGTTTAACACGATCTCCTTCCTGAGATTGCTTATTTATCGGGAGTTGTGCTAAGCCACACCAGTTATCATGCATTTTTCATGAGCCTAGGATTTAATGGTAGCTTGTGTGTGTGTGTGTGTGTGTGTGTGTGTGTGTGTGTGTGTGTGTGTGTGTGTGTGTGTGTGTGTGTGTGTGTGTGTGTGTATCCTGCATGTTTCTGTATGTTTCTGTATATCTTTCGGTTGGTGATGAGTTTTGGCTGTAAAGTGTTCAATAATTTATGCAGTGCAATATGTTGTGCATTTGTGCTATATATAAACATGTCCCATCCGGAAGTCCTTCCAAATGTTTTTTTTCCCTTTGAAGACTATGCTCCTCTCCTCTCCTCTCTTCTCCTCTCCTCTCCTCTCCTCTCCTCTCCTCTCCTGGGACCAGTTCCATTCGGCAGGTCTCTAAAGTCTCGAAAGACACAAGGGCACTGCCTCCAGGATTAGGTTTCTGCCATGTTCACATTCCACTCAGTCCCCCTGAGAGCAAGGTGGAATGGAATTCATATGTTTAAGAGGCTTCGAGCAAGTGTGCACATTTCATTGCAGGGCGAAATGAACCATCCTCCGTTCGAAGCTCTAAGGATAACACTTTGAAAATAGTAGACAGGGAATTGGTGTATGGATAGAAGCAAACCGCTGCATTCAGTATACTCACATTTCCACACACAGATGATTGTACACTCAAACACAGAGTGGCACAGAGTAGGTGACATACAAATAAGCGTTACTGTGCGTCAGTGGCAGTTTTGGCAGGTCCACTGAAATGCAAACCTAGTTATCAAATCAATGTTCTGGGTTTCATTGCTCTGTTGCTATAAGCATACATTAAAGAGCTTATTATCTCAGGTCGTTTTGCATCCCTGTATTTTGTCCTGCATTAAGTACCATGTATAAATCTGTGTGAGTTTGGCTCTGCCGTATCCCTCTTCCTTTCTCTGTGCCTTCATGGCATGTGTGTCTGTTTCCCCATAGTGGTGTGTGTGTGTGTGTGTGTGTGTGTGGGAGGCATATGCAAGATGCATTACTGTCAGATAGCTTCCCCATTGCAGTGTGGTCTCTTCAGACGCTTACGTAATGTTATTACCAATCACACATGGAGAGCATCCTGGCACTCTCACAAGGTTAGGATGAAATATGAGAATGGTTATGAAGATCTGAGATTGTATTATCATGATTTCCTTATTATTGCATCATTAATCTATTTTTGTCTCTTGTCTCTGTCCCCTATTTCCCTCCCACTTTCTCTTTTCTTCAACTCTTTTCCCTGTGGCTCATGCAGAAGTTGAACAAAAAGGTAAGTCTGTAAAGCAAGCACTCCCACATTCACACATGCACTCAAAATGAGGGGTTGGGTGTCACTTTTTGATGTCGGTGCCTGAAACGTTTTGTAGCTAACGGCAGAGCGACATCTCTTTCAAAGTCACTGCTGCTATTTTAAGACAGCTTGATCTCAGTGTATAGAGGCAATTCAGAAACACTGGTTCTCATTAGACACTCTCTAGACCCATATTATTTCATGCTAGCACGTAGAAAATGTCACTTAGCAAGCTCTCCATGGGGAGAGCATGTTTTTATGAGCAACCAATATACAGAAAATTACATTGACATTTAATATTTCAAATGCTTCCCCGTGATATGAAAATTGTGCCAGTGCTTTGAACAGCCAATGGAAATCCAATCAATATTCCCAGCCCTTTCTGTGGGATCTGAGATTGTTATTTGGAAGAATGGGAAAACCACAGGGCACATCTGGCCCGTCTGTGAGAGTATCTGCCATGTATGTGTATGTGACAACATTCCAGTTAAATTACAAAGGTCCCTAAGACTCCGGTCGCACTGGCTTCCCAGAATTTACTACATCTCCCACATCTCCCACATCACTCATAAAACATGACCCCAGAATTCAAAGATGGGAATACTAAGCACAGAGTGGGGAATGAATTATTGTAACAATTGGAGAAACAGCAGGCGATAAAAGACGTGTTCTGCTCTACAGTTGGGCGTTCATGACAAAGATAGAAAGGGAGGGAAAGGAAGAAAGAGCTATGAGACTAATGAGGAGCCGGGGAGGGAGGAAGAAGTGGGAATAGCAGGAAAGGGGGTGGGGGTTGGGAGGGCTGGTGGTAGAACAAAATGTGCTATTTTCTCCTCTTCTTGTAGTTGTGAGAGCAGGGTATTATCTGTTGAATAGGAGACATGCTGTTGCTGTTCTTGAGAATGACAGTGACGAAAAAATCTAATCACAACACATCCTATCATGTCATCGTCAGTCAGTTGTGGTTAAGGTTGAGTTACAGCACTATTTAACATTTATGAAAAGAGGCAAACATTTCACAAACACTGTCATAAAAACTAGACGGAATAGTTGACATTTTACAGAGTTGAAATTGCTATCATTCTTTCCTCAGTATTTCTCTGCCCTGGCATTCTGCGAGGAGTGTACCAGAGTGAACATCTCTTCGAATCAGATCACCAGTCCGGTGCGTGGTGCAAAGACCCACTGCAGGCCTCAGACAAGATCTACTACATGCCCTGGACCCCATACCGCACTGACACACTGACAGAGTACTCGTCAAAGGAGGACTTCATAGCAGGACGTCCCACCACCACCTACAAACTCCCACACCGTGTGGACGGGACTGGTTTTGTAGTCTATGACGGTGCTCTGTTCTTCAACAAGGAGCGCACACGCAACATTGTAAAGTTTGACCTGCGCACTCGCATCAAGAGTGGTGAGGCCATCATTGCCAATGCCAACTACCACGACACCTCACCATACCGCTGGGGGGGAAAGTCGGACATTGACCTAGCAGTGGACGAGAACGGGCTGTGGGTGATCTATGCAACAGAGCAGAACAACGGGCGAATCGTGGTGAGCCAGCTCAACCCCTACACCCTGCGTATCGAAGGTTCCTGGGACTCAACGTATGACAAACGCTCCGCCTCCAATGCGTTCATGATCTGCGGAGTCCTGTACGTGGTCAAAACGGTCTACGAAGATGACGACAATGAAGGGACTGGAAACAAAATCGACTACATGTACAACACTGATAAGAGCAAGGAGATGACGGTCAACATACCATTCCCCAATTCCTACCAGTACATCGCCGCAGTGGATTACAACCCGAGAGACAACCTGCTGTACGTGTGGAATAACTACCACGTGGTCAAGTACTCGCTGGACTTCGGCAACAATGGTAGGTCCCACTTTACACCCAATTCTTCTCTCTCCAACTCTGACTTCTCATTCTTCCGTTCTTAATGTATTTTTTCAACTTAGTACCATGCATAATACCAAGAACAAAGAAGTCGGTCTAAGCACTTTTCCCAACAATATTCATTAGACAGGCTGTGATGTGATTTGCTAAATCTTCACATGAAATACCTTGGCATGTTTGCAATGCTTTTAATATTCATTCCTTTTAATATCCATGATGATGAATTACTTTCTGTTGTGGCATAAGGAATGGTTACAGCCACTAATCTTTCTCTAATAATTAATTTTGAGAAAAGACTTACAAAAGGAAGAAAAAGGAAAAGCACCATCTGTGTTCTCAATTATGATTGTCTCCCACTACTCCACCCCTTGTGTCTGCAAGTTTTTAGAATTAAAAGATAAAATACAAAATAAACTAAACTAAAACCAAACTTGAGAACACTCTGAGAGCTAGTTGCCATTTGTGTAAATGTTTCTACTTTTGTCAGATAAAGAATAATTCACAATGGTTTCTTTTATCTGCACCTTAGCGGAATATCTCTAAAGTTATGAGCCTTATATACTGTATTATGTTATTTTGCCTTTTACTGTACAGTATCACTTGTCAGCCTTCTCTTTAGTTTCCCCCGCTGCATAACAAATCATAAGGCCTTCCCCAAGAATGAAGCCAGGAGTGTGTGGAGGAAGGAGGAACAGTGCCACTTTCAGTTCATCCATTTATAATGACATTCTAAAGAAACTTAAACCTGTGCTTGAAGTTTCACATATGTATTGACTGTTGACCTCTTTTGAGTCAAAGGTTCATCCCTGGTTGTCACAGCTAGGCATACCACAATTTGCAAATGTAGTTGAATACATATTAATACTTAAACAAAATACAACAATAGCAGTCATCTGTTTTTAACAAAATGCTTTGATAACCAAATGTCAAATGTAAGTGACAAGCTGTTAAACATAGAAGATGGTTTGGCTGCAAACATTTCCCTAAGGGGTTGATAGAGACCAAAACAGAGCTAAAAGGTGAGTGTTTCCTGCAGTGATTTCATGAGGTGTTGTGTCAATGTTGTGTTTACACTGCCAAGAGGCCAAACAAAAATCAATCATTCCTGCCTAAAGTGTAGCTTTCAAATCCTTTGAGCACCACCCTGGGACGGTCATATGTGAATCAGTAAATCTGTGCAAGTGCGGTTTGAAGGTGAGTTTGGTGAAAAACTCATGAAATTGATAGATATGCCTATTTATCCGAGATGTACAGGGTCTGACCCATTTTCAGCCCAGGTCGGAGAGGTCATGAATCCAATTTGAAGGTCGGCTCATTTACTGTAGATCAACCACTGCTAGTATCGCTGCGTCCGTCTGAAAGGAATACTGTGTAACCCAAAGTGACTCTGTTTTCAATTCTGGTGAGAGGTTAGAGCCCACCCACCCCTCCCTCCTTCCTCTGGATGGAAGGGCTTAGGCCCCTGGAGCCTGAAGGGCTATTTGCCAGTGTAATTGCCTTTCAGCACCTTTCTATGGAGTGGTCAAGGCAGTCTGGCTGGCGTGTCTTATTAAATGATGTCTGAATTAATGCATGCTCTTACACGCAGTTAGGAGGCGCAGTACAAGGAATTATAGAGAGGCAGCGCGAAACTTGGTTTCTACCGATTAGTGTGCGTGTGTGAAGGGAGGCCTGGCTGTAAAAGTGTGTGTGTGTTTATGCGTGCATAATGATGTGCAGGCCTGTGTTCTTACGCGTTAATGTACTTAGGCTATGAGTTTGTGTTTCTCTATTCATGAGTGTGCATACGTGTTTATTGGTGCATGCTAGAGAGTCTGATCACTCTCATAATGGAGCTCTGGGTGTCTCAGGAGGCTCTAAAGAGGAGATCAATGAGGATTCAATGTGGAGAATGACCTCCAGTGCACAGCAACAAGCCAGACTGCTGACCAGCGGGAGATAAATACATACAATCAATTCCTCCCCGCTCCTTTACTCCCCTCCTCGCTCTGCTCCCTCACTCAATAAAGACAAGGAATAAATTAACTACCTTAACTGCATGATTTACTCATTCTTCAGAAAACTAGGCAGCTAAGTCGATTCATTCGAGTTTGATTTTGTTATTGTATGCAGAGCAGACGCTATATTTTGCTCTTCATTCATTCTAGATTTGTCCATGATTTTCAATATATAGTGTGCATATACTGTAGGGTCAACCTTCCATGTTTCAGCCCTGGTGTTTTTTTCCTTACTTAATTCAGGAAACAGGCAAAGGAAAGGGGCCATTCTGAGGGTTTCCACTTATAACCAATGTAGCGTAATGCTTACACTGTTTTTGTTTCGGCTCATATGGACTTCCTTAAAGATATAAAATGAGACAGGAAATAGGCTAAAGTAGGCCACTGAGGACTGAGTGCAATTGGGGTACAACGCAGGAGCACCAATTACTGTGTTCTGTCGGCCCAACTGGCGAACAAAGGCAGCTAACTGGACGCTTCAAAAGAGGTCATTCTGAAGCATTTGCTCTGTTTGTACTTGGCAATTTGTATAATTGCAATTATAATCAGTTATATCTTCATTTAAATCATTCATTTTACAATATGTAACATTAATGTTAGGTGTGTTCAGTGTTGGGGCTTGTGCTAAAACACAATGTAAACTGCTGAGTTTGAAAAAAGGGGCTTTTGTAAAAGAAAGTCTTGAAAAAAGGTTTATATTTGCTTCAAAGTATAAAGGTACTCAATCAAATTGACCCCTGTATTGAAAGTCTAGCCCAGCCCTCTATAACACATACGGTTGGCTTTAAGCGAGATTTTAAACATTCCAGGAAAATAAATAAAAGATCTTCAGTGTAGTTTACCCTAGGTCAACCGAAACTATACAGGTTTACTCCCATGAATTCCATCACACCATGAAGCAGAAAATGTTCTTTTTGAAATGCATATATTTTTCTCCCTTGGCACTTGAGAAGAAAGCCGGCTGCCTCTCTGCATTTATTGTCTCCGGTGTCCGTTTGTACTTACTTTTTATCTTTTTTATACAACCATTCTTTCTCGCCTTTCTTTTGAATACCCATTATTTATCCCCCCGTCTTTTAAATACCTATTCTTTCTTTCTTTTCCCATCCCTCACACAAACTCATACACTCACAATGGCAGGAATCTCAAAATTCCCCTTTCCGTACATCTGTCTTTAACTGTGTGTTTTCCACTTTATTTTTTCTCCGTCTTCCTTATCTCCTACCTAATCAGCCCTCCTTTTCTGCGCCCAACCCTTTCCAACATCGCACAAATTTTTTTCATGTAATGTCTTCAGATGTATATATTATAGGCCTATTGCGTGATTGCTGTGTAGTCATAGTCAAAGTCGCTTGTCTCTGCATCACCCTTTCCTCACGCCCCACACTCCCCAAACACTCTCTCACTCTCTACTGTTTATAGAATTGTTTCATCATGTCTTCTTACATGCATATTATAGAGGCTTGCCCTACGCAAGCGGCATGGCTCCGATGAAAGATTTGAATAATTTATCACCTCCAGTCTGCCTTTCCACACTTTAGAAAGTTTTCCCAACAAAGTCGCACAATTATTCATGTTATCTGCATCTTCGGCAAGAAACGGCCAAACAGGGATAAAACTAAACAAATTTCCAATGGCGCATGCTGCCTTTTCCATCTTGTATCTTTCTCCGTATGTTATTCTGCTGCCCCAGTTCTTACTATATATGTCCTGCTCCTAGAATTTAAGTGATGATCTACTTAAGCTCTTATGATCCATTGAGACAATCTGATTGCATATTGTATCGTAAACCAGCACCTTTACACTTTGGCACAAGTGGAAAGGTACATAACTATGAAAAGTTTCCTGAACAACCCTGAAGGTATTTTTAAAAGACTATGTAAAATAAATGTATCAGAAAGTGACAAAATCGGTTTTACAACTTGTTAACATCATTGTTTTTGATAAGTACTACAGCGTTATCCAAACAACTTCGAAAGGGCGTGTTGCTTAAGTTCTATCGCTGAAAGTCACCCACAATAACCCCTCCCACTGTACAGCTCAACCTCCCAATTATGCCCTACAAAACAACAGTATTGAAAAAATAACTCAAACATGACAGTTGGATAGCTTACTATCACTAATTTTAATTAAAACAATATTTTCATCTGACCTTATTTTAGAGGGTGATTGCAATTTGGAGCATTATATTACTGTTGACAGTTTTGAAAAAGTCAAAAATGTAACTCAGACATCTATTTAACTACAAATAAAAACTCAATTAATCTAGCTCATTGCTTACGCCAGTCAAATACTTAAAGTGTCTAAAGTGATATCCTCAATCTTAATTAGAGAGTAATCAAACGCTGGCATCCTATTCTAATCTAAATACAGAGTTATAAAGAGATGACCTCTATTTGCCACTTGTCAGTTTACGGAAATGTAAAGGTTCACCTTTGAACTCTTAATGGCTGGAATCACAGAGTTCCATTTCCTAAGGAAGTCAAGCATGGCGTTTCTATTGTCTTCACCCCTCTTCACTTATTTACACCACCCTCCCCAACCCCAACCTCTCCACTCCTCTCCCTTTTTTGCCTTCCTTGGCACCAGATTGCAATCAAGCGACATGGCTAAGCAGCAGTGCAGGAAATGTTGGAAACAAGCTGAAGTGGAGAGAATAACAAGAGTTAATGGCTCAAGTGGAGACCCTCTTTCACCAGATCACTGATTAGTTCAACCCTCGGCACATTTCTGGCTTGAGACACACAGTTGTGTATTTATGTGTGCGTATTGTCCTTAAAGTAACTGTTCATGCCACCTGAGATGGTGTCAAAATAAAGGAAGGTTTATTTATTATCTTAAATGAAGTATAAAGCTTTTAATACAAAATGTTAGGTCAGAGTAGTATAGTATGGTATTCCAAAAAAGGAACATGTAAAAAAACTACCCGGAAGTGGTTAATCCTAGAATCTGAAGATTTAATACTGGATCTAATTTCCAAAA